AAAATTTATGGATCACACCAACCTGAGAAGGGTAACAATTAGTATGAAAGACAGCATTAGAATTCAAAACTAACTTGATAAATTGGAAAACTAGTCTGAAAGCAACAAGATGAAATTAGAAGTGAAAAATATTTCACGTAGGAAGGACAAATCACATGCACAACTACAAAAAGAGAGAAAACTGTCTAGATGGTAATGCTGATCAAAAGGAGCAAAGGGGAGTTATAGTAAGTAGATAATAAATTGAGTATGAATTAACAATGTGATGCAGTTGCAGAAAAGGCTCGTAATCTGGGATATTTTAACAGGAGTGTCATATGTAAGACATGGCGGGTAACTCTTTCTGTACTCAGCAGTGGCAAGGGCTCAGATGAACAACTGTGTCCAATTGCCACAGTGCAGCACTTTATGAACCATATGAATAAACTGGAGCATCCAGAGGATAAAAGGTTTAGCAAACCTATCCTATTAAGTAAGCTTAAAGGTTAAAGTAAAAAACAACAATGTTTACCATTGAGAAAAGAAGACTGTGGGAGGACCTGATAACAGTCTTCAAATATGTAAAGGGCTAACAATGTGATCAGTTGTTTGCCATGACAACTGAAGGTAGGACAAGAAATAATGGACTTACTGTGGAACAAGGGAGATTTATGGTAGGATAATTGTAATTAAACACTGGCACGGGCTTTCAAGGGAGGTTGTGGAATCCCCGTTACTGGCGGATTTTAAGAACAGATTAGACAAGCGCCTGTCAGACATGGTCTAGATTTTCTTGGTTCTCCTTGAGAGAAGGGGGCTGGACTAAAAGAACTCACAGTCCCTTTCAGCACTACATTGCCATGTGTCTATAAATATAAATACTATAAATTCAACATTTATATTAATCTGCGTTAGGTATCTATATGACATCAATTATTGTACACTGGTGCCAATTTCTAATAATCAGTACTTTTGCATTACTGAAAGTGAGCTACTCTACTACAAACTCTGTATGGCAAAGGGGCTGACTTGGAGGTAAAAAGGAAGGCTATTGCAGAGCATGCTGTCCTTTGAATAACAATGCTTTGCAAAAGAAACTCCACTTATTAATGCCTAGTCATTCCTATCATGTCACAAGTTCCTTCTGGATCAACTGAATCAACACACATCGCAGTTTCCTAAGATCAGCTAGCTCTTTCTGCTGAATTTCAGTTCTCTGTCTCATGGCAGCTCCCATGTTTGCAAGACGAGGCTCAGACTACTTGCCAACATTCAGCAGTACTTGCAAGCTCACCATTCTTTACAGTTTTCTGACAGCTGGTGGCACTTGCTTGGTCACCTGCATTGAGACAAATGAGTGAGGCATAGATGCACACAATATGCTTTCATGCGGGTTAATTAATTAGACCCAACTCTGCAAGGTTGCACCTAACTTTTAGTTGCCTAGAAAAATCACAATCACATCAATGCTACTCACAGAGCTTGAGTTAGGAACCTAGACTCTGTAAATAATTAACGTGGAAAGAGAAGTGCTCTAGAATGTGATGCTCAAAAGCTAGCAACCTAAGTGGGCAGCCACCTAAGGAGATGGTAATGCTGGTGAGAAGAAGGTTTTGTAAACCCCACTTTTCTCATGGAGGCACATTGATCTAAGTTTTAAGAGTAAACCAGGCCTTAGACACCTACCTACAGTGCTCAGGATTAGGAAAAATCCATCCCTGTGAGTGCCTAAGTACACAAACCTTACTCCAAGTGTAGGCACAGCTAGTCAATGGAAGGAATACTTATGGAGGGAGTTCCTACAGATACTTCCAAGAATCTGACCCTATCTAACTTAACCAAGATCAATGAGAAGACTCGAGCAGTGCAGGGAATTTAACACAGGTCACCTTATTACCAGACTTGTCCCCTAACCACTGTCAGCTCTTATCCACAGTGAACAGATTCAAAGGGGAATGCTTAGTAGGGGAGGGTGCATCTGGTGAGGTCCCTACTGAGGTCACCCAAAGAAACCTCTCATACAAAAATTCGGAGAGTGGTAAGTAATGAAGAGGACAGGACACTGATACAGCTTGATCTGGATCACTTGGTAAGTTCAGTGCAAGCAAACAACATTTTAATACAGTTCAGTAAATATATTCAACTAGGAACAAAACATGCAGGCCATACTTACAGGATGGAGGACTCTATTCTGGGAGGCAGTGCTGCTGAAAAAGTTTTGTGTATGGAGGGTGTCATGGTGGATAGTCATCTGAATAGATGATCCTAGTGCAATCATAGAATCATAGAATACTAGGTCTGGAAGGGACCTCGAGAGGTCATCGAGTCCAGTCCCCTGCCCTCATGGCAGGACTAAGTACTATCTAGACCATTCCTGATAGAAATTTATCTAACCAACTCTTAAATATCTCCAGAGATGGAGATTCCACAACCTCCCTGGGCAATTTATTCCAGTGTTTAACCCCTCTGACAGTTAGGAACTTTTTTCTAACGTCCAACCTAAACCTTCCTAGCTGCAGTTTAAGCCCATTGCTTCTTGTTCTATCCTCAGAGGCCAAGATGAACAAGTTTATATTGACAAGGGAGGTAATTTCCAACTCAGGTAGATGTACAGACACTAGCTTTGATCTAGCTAACTGTGTAGCCATGGTGGTGGGATGGGAGGCAGGATCGTTTATCAGATCTTTCCACTGCCCCAGCATCAATAGTTAGTGTTCTAGTTCAGTCAAAGAGCCCTTGCAAGTTCCACTGTATTAGATGGGTCTGTGTTTAGCCCTCAACACAGTCTCAGCTTGAAATAATGGAGCTCTATGACCAAATCTTTGCACCCGTTTTGCTTCTTCAGAGATGATACACACCGGTCCTTTCATTTTATTTAATAACTTTATATCCAAACTGTATAAAATGGTCTCATTTTTATTCCTTCTTCAGGCTATTAAACATTCAAGAAACATTCAAATAATAAACAGCAACTATTTTTAAGTATCTTGTAATGTTTAAAGGCAATAGAACTGGTACTGACCAGCAACACCATAGGGCTACGTCTACACTGGCATGATTTTCCAGAAATGCTTTTAACGGAAAAGTTTTCTGTTAAAAGCATTTTTGGAAAAGCGCGTCTAGATTGGCAGGACGCTTTTCCGCAAAAGCACTTTTTGCGGAAAAGCGTCCGTGGCCAATCAAGATGCGCTTTTCCGAAAAAAGCCCCAATCGACATTTTCACTATCGGGGCTTTTTTTGCAGAAAACAAATCTCTGCTGTTTACACTGGCTCTTTTGCGCAAAAGTTTTTCGGAAAAAGACTTTTACCCGAACGGGAGCAGCATAGTATTTCCGCAAAAGCACTGACAATCTTACGTGAGATTGTCAGTGCTTTTGCGGAAATTCAAGCGGCCAGTGTAGCCAGCTGGCAAGTTTTTCCGGAAAAGCAGATGATTTTGCGGAAAACTTGCCAGTCTAGACACAGCCTAGGTGTATATATCTTTAGAACATGCATGTGCATATAGACTATGTATGCATACGTACATGGACATCTGAGACATCATTTTAGCTACTATTCAAATATTAGCACCTTTTTGTAGCAGCAACATATCTTTAACAGCTGATTTAAAGCAGCATATGAAGTAGCTGTAATTGTGATTAAATTGTCATCCCAGACACAATAAGAGGCCTGATCATGTGATGCTTCACCTGCAGAACTTTCCATTAACGTCAAGAGAAGAAGTGAGCCGGAAGGCACAGATCTAGCAAACACCACCATTTCAGGGTACGTGGGTGTGTGTGCGTTCTAGAGGGAGGGACCACTATACTCACCTACATGGATGCCTTCTATGATGATGTAACTGGCTCTGTGGACATGGGGAAGTTGGTGAATGTGATACACCTTGACTTTAGCAAAGCTTTTGATAAGGCCTTCCACAGTATTCTTGCCAACAAGTTAAGGAAGTATGGTTTTAATAAATGGACTGTGAGGTGGATAGAAAGCTGCTTACATTGTTGGCCTCAGTGGGTAGTGATCAACGGCTCAATATCTGGTTGGTGGTCAGTATCAAGTGGAGTGTCCCAAGGGTCGGTTCAAGGTCTATTTTTGTTCAATATCTTTATTAATGACCTGGATGAGAGGATGGATTGCACCCACAGCAAGTCTGCAGATGATACTAAGCTGGGGGGAGAGGTAGATATCCTGGAGGGTAGGGATAGGGTCCAGAGTGACCTAGACAAATTGGAGGATTGGGACATGTTGGAAAGGGTCCAGTGGAGGGCCACCAAAATGATTAGGGGGCGGGAGCACATGACCTACGAGGATAGGCTGAGGGATTTGGGCTTATTTAGTCTGCAGAAGAGAAGAGTGAGGGGGGATTTGATATCAGCCTTCAACTACTTGAAGGGAGGTTCCAAAGAGGATGGAGAGAGGCCGTTCTCAGTAGTAACAGATGGCAGAAAACGGAGCAACGGTCTCAAGTTACAATGGGGGAGGTCTAAGTTGGCTATTAGGAAAAACTATTACACTAGGAGAGTGGTGAAGCACTGGAATGGGTTACCTAGGGAGGTGATAGAATCTCCATCCCTAGAGGTTTTTAAGTCCTGGCATGAAAAAGTCATGGTTGGGATGATTTAGTTAGAATTGGTCCGGCATTGGGCAGGGTGTTGGACTCGATGACCTCCTAAGGTCTCCTCCAGCCCTGTGATTCTATGATGCAGGTGCTGGACTGAGGCCTTAATTAATACACTATAAGTTATAGAATCATAGAACCACAGAGCTGGAAGAGACCTCAGAAGGTCATCAAGTCCAGCCCCCTGCTTTAGGCAGGACCAATTCCAACTAAATCAACCCGGCCAGGGCTTTGTCAAGCCGAGACTTAAACACCTCTAGGGATGGAGACTCTACTACTTCCCTAGGTAACCCATTCCAGTGCTTCACCACCCTCCTAGTGAAATAGTTTTTCCTAATATCCAACCTGGACCTCTCCCACCACAACTTGAGACCATTGTTTCTTGTTCTGCCATCTGTCACTACTGAGAACAGCCTTTCTCTATCCTCTTTGGAACCTCCCTTCAGGAGGTTTAGAAGTCAGGTCTAAACACATTTCTAGTATGTTTTATAATGTTAGTCTGGAAACATGGCCCTTAACAGTCAAAAGCCTCTTTAGTCACTGCAATATATTTATGACCTGTTCATATGGTATAAAACCAAGAAGACTGTAAGTAGCACAACCTTAGTAGTCTATAAAGTGCTACCAGACCATTTGTTGTTTTTTTCTGTACAGACGAAACTCAGCTACCCCCTGAAGTCTTAGAACAGTTAGGAATCTGAAGGTTATGTCTAGGATTTTTCAAATGTTAGCCAATACATATGTTAGGCACAATACATTACTACATATTAAATAAATGGTATTAATATACAATACATGATACAGCCAAGTGTCAGGAAGTTAGGTTAACAGAATATATTATGCTTTTCCCATAGTTCTGTGCACCCATGTTGAGCATTCCCCAACACTTTGAAAATCTGAAGTCAGCTCTGGCATTAGAAAATAGAAAACCTGTCAAAGCAAAGAGGCATGCATACGTTGCTATAAGTCTGGGTACGATGTACTTTCAGAGCCCATCCACATTTAGAACATAGTATTCTAAAGAAGGGCTAGGAAAGTATAGGGAAGTATCAAAAACTGAGCTGTCACAAACTAGTGGGTTGAGTGAAACACCCACCGGAGTATGCTCTTGTTATAGGTGACGTAGGCACTGCCTAGGGCGGTACACTGGGACCCGCTACCCCTCCATCTTGGGCAACTGGACCAAGTTTGAGCAGAGTTGCAATCTCATGTGCCAGGCCACAATGCTACTCAAATTTAGCCCAGCCTCTTCTCTGTCATATTGGAGGGCAGCTGAACCAATGAGGAGGGGGATAGAACACTGAAGGTTTGCTTAAGATGGCAGATTGTCCTGAGAGGCCTCTGCATCCAACTTCCATTGAATTTCAGTGGACCTTAAGCACCAAACTCCTTTCATCTTCTTTAAAATTCCCAGCCTTGAGTGTTTTAAAAGCCAATCAGCTCCCATTGAGAATAGTTATACCATCACCAATGGAGCTGAGTAATTATTGGGATCCTCTACAGCTAGCACCAATAAGGCCTAGCTGCTGCAGAACCTACAGAGCTTGCCTCCAAGTTGCAGTATGGCAGACACACTACCGACATCACAGGAGGTTGTGTAGAGAAAAGTCCCAGTAATTACAAGAAACAGGAGAGATTAGCTTTACACTTTGGGACCTGAGACTAAATGGTGCTCTGTACAAGTGCCAGTTATTTTAATACTGTTTTGGGGGCAACCACAATTTGTTCTTCCACTGTAAATGGAGACAATGAAAAGCACAACATTCTTCTAAAGACCTGTATGCATGCCGCTAACCTATATTCCATGCTCACATAAGTACCAGGAACAGGTACACATTGCAAAGCACAATGACAAATTTGTAGCTGTCTTAAAAAGAGGGCTGAAGAAGCATATTGGGGTTGATTGCCCTAAAGGATGTATTTCCCCAATTTTGATCTGTTCTTTACGTTTCCATCTATATAGAATGGCTCCATACAAAAGAGAAAATGGAACTACTGATTAAATTCACCAGGGAGCAAAATACCCTAGTGCTCAGCACGTTGGCTGTTGCTCTTTTTGATTGGAGGCAATTTTCTTCTGGATTTGGTGTAATTTTGTTCTTTGAAGGTCTGTTGATTTCCAGATCTTGTTTTGTTAGGAATTCGGGGCCTATTACACGTGAAGCAGCACTGAGTCCTTATTGATGGCACCAGACATTTGCCAATCCATTTCAGCTTCTGGCAGAAATTAATGGACAGCTTGTCTTTGTGGCACGGCAGGCCTATGGTGAAAAACAGGATGCAAGTTAGTTATAGTCTTAGCATCTAGATGAGAATAACCTATAGCCAGGTTTAGAACTGTGCAAATGCATGGTCAGAATAGGAGAGAAGCAGAGTGTCTGAGCTCCAAGGCAGCAGATACACCAAGGGGGTTGGCAATGGCATAGTCAGAAGGGCACACTTGGGTAGGAAATGATAGGGAGTAGGGTTAAGCCCCAGTACCGAACCCCACTCTCCAGCTGCAATGGCAAATGGGATGGCAGTGGGTGGGTGGGCCTAGATACAGAGTGGGTGGGCCATGCTATACCCATGGCTATGCCCCTGGAACAAGGCCCAAGCCACAGTGTGTCACACTATTCTCAAAAGTACTGCATTTACAGATACGCATTGCCACTGGCTATCTAAGGCTATGTCTAGACTGCAGGCTTCTTTCGAAAGAGGCTCTTTCGAAAGCATCTTTCGAAAGAGCCTCTTTCGAAAGAAGCCTGCAGTCTAGACATAGCCCAAGAGATAAAATCAAGCCTTCTACATGCTGAGACATTAAATGTAGCTGCTATATAGTGCATAACCAAAGCATTCCAAAATGCTTTTTACTTCTCTGTCAATATACTTGAAGTGTCAGCTTCTGATCCTGTGACTCCCTACAGCAGGGCTGGGCAACATACGGCCCAGGGAGGTTTACCGCCATCGAAAGAAAAGCCGCGTTCTTTCGAAATAATTTCGAAAGAACGCGGCTTGAGTCTGGATGCAGGGGAAGTTTTTTCGGGAAAAGGCTACTTTTCCCGAAAAAAACCCTGAGTCTGGACACGGCCTAAGGGACAGGACTCCAGAAACTGTGGGAACTTACTTTTCTAAGAGGCTGTATTGACTATGAGGAGCAGTGGGAGCTTTCAAGAACGGCAGGAGGGAGCAGATAGAGTGCAGCAGTTCTGTGTCCCCTTCCTCTCCCCCCCAGCACTGTCTGTAAAACATACACTGAATCATTACTGTAGATTATCTTTCCATCTACTTGTGTTCTGCTCAGCACTCTCAGTCCTGCACTACCTGTGGCTTCTTCATCTTACCCACATCCGTTGTTTTATACAGAAGAACAATGCCTAGCAGCCACCTGATTGGAGGCGCTTACCCAGAATCCTGATGAAGTTTTGGACTGCTGCAAGCAAAAGCCCCGGTAGCACCTCAAAGAGGAGCCTCAATCTGTACCGTTTTTAACTAAGCAGCTGCCGGTCAGTCGTGGGAT